CATTATTGATGATTAAGCGTTAGATGGTTAGGGTGAAAATAACAATAAGGGATACATCAGCGAACAACTTGGCTTTCATATCGAAGGGACTATAGATCAACGTCAATTGGGATACATGTACTATGAAGTATAATGTCATGGGATGGCTATTTTAGATGAGTATATGTTGAAATATTTGCATCAATCAAATTTTTAGCTTTCTTACATGGGATGTACCATGTAGCCTCAGTTATGATTAAGGAATTTAGCCTTACACCTATATAGATCCATGAAACATTCTCCGTCTATATAGATCTTATCTATACCTTGACAAAACCAAACAATCTAGAATGTAGACTGATGTATCAGCATATATATCCTCCTCAACTTGGATTAACTCTAATTCATCATCTTAAGACTTGGTTATTATATATCGCCAACACTTTTATTGGCAGGAGCTTAGTTCTCCTCCTTGTTCTGTTAATCAGAAAGAAAATCTAATTTATTTCCCGTAATCAATATAATCATCAATGTAATATAGAAAAATTTAAAAAAGTACAGAATATAAATTGTAACAATATAACTCATTATTTGAGGCATCAGGAAAATATAGGACCTATTCTAGTAAATTACAATATACTACACACACAGAGCTCCTCATTATTCACAGTAATATGATTCATTTTGGGCTTTGTGCATATAACAAGTCTCACATGGGAAAGTCTTACAAGTTGAGTGAGGTCTATAAGTTCAAGAGGTTTTTCCATCCAACAAGATAATCTTTTGGGATGTACTATCTCCTTTTAGGCTTGTGCTTATTATATTAGTATTGTTATTGAGAAGCTGGTGTTATGAAAAAAGTTATCCATAAAGGGTTCTGATTCGTTGAGGTTGAATGAAGTGTCATGAGGTGAAGTTGTTGTGGACGTCGGTGTGACCTTGTAATGAGTTCCACATTTGGGGAGCCTCAAAAGTTGAGTGGAGTTTATAAGTTTAAAGAGCTTTTCATTTGATAGGTTAATTTTTGAAATATGTTCTCCTTTTAGACATGTGCTCATTACAATGCAATTGTATGAATCTCAACTAAATAGTGTACAAAATGGAAGTCCAAAATGTTTCCTGGCAAAACTTAACTGTACAAGTTGCTTCTCTTCGTTTATCTATAGTATTTGCTTGATACATTATCTTTATTTAAAGTACTTTTTTTTAATCAAATCAAGGCACAATTTGTATAAAATTAAAGTAAACATGATTTTATTTAAGCTTAACATTTAAGCCAAATCATAAAGATCTTGTTAGAAAAAACATTATTTGTGGCTTATTATATAGGCTGCGCTACTATTTCAAATTAATAGCTTGGTAAATAAACTTTTTCCTGTACATCCCTCATGTAAATATTTAGCTTATCCAACAACTTTCTCATACTCTACCAACTTCATGTTTAGCCAAAATATTTTTTTTAATCTTCAACAGATTGGCTTCAAAACAAGTAGATTTTATAATAAAAAATTATTTAAAAATATTACAATCGTGTGGGAAGTCTGTAATTTGATTGTATGTCCAAAGGTAGAAAAGAAACCAAACGTATAGTTATCTAACTTGGAGGAATAAAATTGACCACGGTGGCATTTTTTTTTTTTTTAATGAATGTTGATCTTTGAATGCAAACCCATGGATGATGCTGAATTGATGATTGATACTTTGTGAGTAGAGTTTTGGCACTTTGGGCTTTGCACTGCAGGTTACGACCAAAAAAAATGAGAAAAGAAAATTTACCAAACAGCTTTTTATCATTTGACCACGGTAAAAAGAAAATCAAAATGTAATTTCAACTCGATAAAATGAAAAAGACATAAAATAAATGCAACCAAACAAGAAGCAAATAGCAAAACAAAATTGAACGAAATCCTGAAGCAGTTTTCACTTCATATCATCGCTCCACCAAGAAAAGCAATTCCAAGAACAAGAGGCACCATGTTCGCCTGGAAACTCACAGAACCTGCAGAGGATTGTACGGTGTTGGCCTTGTTGGCGTTATCATCGCCATCTTCACTCTCATTTGCAGACGACGATCTCGTTTTATTAGGCTGAGGCGAATCTGCCTTCGCTGCCACCGCCGGCGAAGGTGCCGGAGCCTTGGGAAGCACAATGTCTAGTGGAAGAAGCACTTTGTCGACCTGATATATGGCGAGCTTGTTGTCGGTGTACACGGTGCCTGTCACGGTGGCATTAACGGCGCCAGTGGTTATGCTCACTTGGCTGCCGCTGTAAGTTGTGACGTTGAGTTGGAGCCTTTTGGGGTCATCGCCGGCCTGGGTCTGAACTGGGTTGGTGAGAGTATCGAAGTTGGAGATGGAGATGAAGAGATGGTGTGGAACTGAAGAAGCTCCACCTTTTGCCTGTCACTGAGGGAGTTCAAGAACCCTGGTTTGAGTTTGGAGAATGCACCGTCCTCAGGGGCGAAAATGGTGAGTCCACCGGAGCCTGAGGTCATGAGCTGCGAGTTGAGTTGGTTGATGAGTTGCGTTGTCTTCAGCAAACGTACAAGAACAGAGAATATCTTGGCCTTCCTCAAAATTTGAACAATGTCAATGGTGGGACGTCTGGGGATGGCCGGCGTCGGAGCACCATTGGGTGAAGCAGGTACCAAGGGCACCGTATTGTATCCAGGCGCTGGTGCAGTCGCCGGAACCGTCGGTGAAGCTTTGGGAGGCATGCTGCCGGAGGCTGAAGTGGTGACAACTGGGCTAAAATGGTGGTGGAATAGAAGAAGGTGATTAGAAGTAGTGTGGTGGCGAAGATGAAGGAATCTTGCACGGTGACTTGTTTGGTTCTGTTGGGTATGAAATTATTGAGATGGCTTGTGAAGTTGAAGAAGTCTAATAAGTGACAGTGTACTTGGTGTGGAGCGAAGATATGGGAATTTATATATAGATCAATTCGCGTGAGTGGGTGCAATAATAGGGTGTTGATATAAGAAGGTTTAGTAGAGCTGAAAAAGAATGATAAAGGATATTTCCAACTTTAAGAATGGATGTCCTTAGCTATCGTAATAGAAAGATATATGTGGAGTTTATTGTCATGATTGATGAATCATTGTTGGATATTTAAAGGGATACATCAGTGAAGTAGAGGCAGGCTCTCACATGGAAGGGACTATCAACATCAATTGGGATACATGTATGTATGATTTAGATGTGAATAGGTTGAATATTTGCACATCAATCAAATTATTTAATTTGTTAGTTTCTTACGTGGGATGTTCCTTCAATTAGGATTTAAGGAATTAATGGAACCTTTACATCTGTCGTAGTTGTAACTCATATATAATTAGTCCCCATTCAATCGGAAAGGGTTAACTTATTTTCCGTAATCAATATATATATAGAATCATAAACATATAAAAAAGTGTGCGTGTGTGGGGGATATCGATGTTGTAACAATACAATTTATCTTCTTGATCATCAAGCAAATAAAGGATCTATTTTACCACTGTATAGGCCCATTCTAATGATTTAACGAAAATGGAAGGCCCAACGAACATTCCTGTCCAAACTTGTACAAACTACAAAGCGGGTACTTATTTAATCTTTATGTTGTAGTATTTACTAGCCATACCTCCTCACCCTTTCTGACTTTCCTTTAATTTTATTTAAATGAAAATACTTAAGTACATACAAACATACGTATTTAAAATACTTTTTATGCTAACAAAGGTTACTCTAATTAATAAAGATTTGACCTATAACTTATAATAAAGTTGATTGTGAGCTCAAATCCTGCTCTTGATATAAATATATTATTGATGGACAATTTGTAAGTACTTTTTAAGTTTAGGAACATGCCATAATTTTGATGAATCCTTGAAATCCAACTCACCTAAAATATTTTCTACCAAATCAAATCAAAACTAGAAGATTTTAACTTTGAAAATAAGTTCAAAATGTTAATAGCATTAGTTAGTCACAAAATAAGTAATGCAATTGAAATATACATATATAAACACATCCAAATTTAATTGGGAAATTTAGTTTAAGTAAATAAATTGAAGTACCTATTTTTCTTCTTTTATTTTATTTTTAATTCATTCTATTTTGTTTTTGGTTGTTATCATTGTGTATGTTGGGAATTTTAGCATTTCATGTTGACGGTGTTTGGGGTCTTCTAATAACCTCTAATATATTGTTATCGAATAATATATGTGCTTGATTTATTACTCATATCTTCAAAGTGATGATTATTATTGTTTTTAATGATAATGTACAATGGTGATATGAAGAAAACAAATCTTCTGTAATTGATTGACATTGAATGGTGTATGAATTAAGTGAGTCTATGGCTTAATAATAAATTGAGAGATGAAAGGTCTATTTAGCTCATTTAAGCACGATCCTTATATGTTAATACTCTCATGGCATACTGGCATGGACACTTTATAAGTAAAATGTTACGGCTTTGATTTTGTTTGTAACTTTAACCTGTTAGTGTTTGTCTTTGAAATTAAGTTTTTCCTCTTAAACTAATTAATGATATAAATTTTAAATAATGTAACCATTTGATTTCTTATGGAGATAATAAATAAATATACAATACTAAAACAATCTCACTTTTAAAATAATTCAAAACAATATTTGCATGGAAAAGTGAGAGTAATAACGTAATTGATTCATTAAAAATTTATCTTCAATTTTCTTTCATGCAAGAATTGAAATTGGATCTGAAACCACTAACATCCTTTTCAAACCAGACTTTACAATGGATTACAATAATACATTTTTTTGGTCAACCGATAATTATATACTTGAGATAAGTGCTCTGTTTTCTTTTCCCAATGTATACAAGAATCGTTGAAACTCCTAGAAAATATGGAAAGCAAAAACAGAGACGAAGACAATGTTGGAGATCGATCGCAATCAACTCCATAAGTTTGGCCATTCGAGTTGTAATTACAGAACAGCATTCTCTTATTTGATAACAACAAATAACAAATCAAAAAGTAATATCAACTCATACAAATGAAACAGAGATCTAAATATATGTAACCCAACAGTAACCAAATAGTAAAACAAAATTGATTGAAATCTTCCATCAGCTTTCACTTCAAAGAATCATGGCTCCACCCAGAAATGCAATCCCAAGAACAAAGGGTATCTTCTCCGAGTGGAAACTCACAGAACCTGCAGAGGATTCCATAGTGTTGGCCTTGTTGGCTTTACCATCACCGTCGTACTCTCATTTGCAGGCGACGATTTTGTGTTATCAGATTTGGGCGAATCTGCCTTCGCCGCCGCCGGGGAAGGTGACGGAGCCGTACGAAGCACAAAGTCTAGTGGAAGAAGAACTTTGTCGACCTGATATAAGGCGAGCTTGTTGTCGGTGTACACGGCGCCAGTGATAGTGGCGTTAGCCGCACCAGTGGTCATGCTCACTCCGCTGCTGCCTGAAGTTGTGACGTTCAGTTGAAGTCTCTTCGGGTCGTCGCCGGCCTGGGTCTGAACTGGGTTGGTGAGAGTATCGAAGTTGGAGATGGAGATGAAGGAAGAGATGGTGTGGAACTGAAGAAGCTCCACCTTTTGCCTGTCACTGAGGGAGTTCAAGAACCCTGGTTTGAGTTTGGAGAATGCACCGTCCTCAGGGGCGAAAATGGTGAGTCTGTGTCACGAGTCCACATCAGGGAGGCTCTTAAATGGTGTGTTCATCCCAAAAGACTAGTCTATTGAAAGAGAAAGCCCCTCACACTTATAAATTCCACACCATTTGTGAGGCTCCCGAAGGATTCGCGACAGTCTGCTGGAGCATGAGGTCATGAGCTGCGAGTTGAGTTGGTTGGTGAGCTATGTTGCCTTCAGCAAACGTACAAGAACATGGAATCTCTTTGGCCTCCCTCAAAATTTGAACAATGTCAATGGTGGGACGTTTGGTCATGGCCGGAGTCGGAGCACCATTTGGTGAAGCAGGTACCAAGGGCACCGTATTGAATCCAGGCGCTGGTACAGTCGCCGGAACAGCAGGTGAAGCTTTGGGAGGCGATGGTGCCTGAGGCTGAAGTGGTGACAACTGGGCTGAAGTGGTGATGGAATAGAAGAAGGTGACCAGAAGTAGAGTGGTGGTGAAGATGAGTGATTCTTTAATTGTGATCTTTTTGTTTATGTAAGCATAAGTGATAGTGTTGAAAAGAGTGAGTGGAGGGACTTGGTGATGTGTTTGATGATTTTGTAGCGAGGAGAAAGGACGAAGCTATGGCTGGGATAATAATAATATCTAATTCCAACTTTCTGCAGGTTATTGATTAATCTTCTTACCTATCCTGGAAACATATGATCTTCATTATTAGTGATAATTACTTGATACGAGATAGTGACCAAAGATGAATGAAACAAACCGAACTGATACATCTCGCGCGCGCTCACGCGAGAGAGGGAGCGAGAGAGAGATCAATTGGGATACATATACTACGATATGTCTCAGAAGGTGGCTATTTTAGATGTGTATAGGTTGAATATCTCCATCAATCAATCGGAGGATAACAAAACTATAAGCAAATTGTTAATTTGAGGGTGAGGTAATTAATTAGGATTAAAGGATAAGCTAGCTGGCAGTATGTGTCAAATGGATAGAATAAAAGAATCACAATTAAATTGATAAACTTGGCGAAGAATAGAATTGAGATTTAGGGTTGTTTGTTTTCTATTTTTAAATACTATTTTTTATTTTTGAAAATAGAAAAATTTTAAAACTTGTTTGGTTAAGTATTTTTGATTTAATTGTTTTTAAAATTATTTTTATTTTTTATTTTTAAAAACAAAAAATAAAAGCAACTTCAAGTCATTTTTATTTTATGTTTTATTTTTAAAATACACTATATTTGATTATTAAAAATTACAGGTACCTTGATCAATTTTGTTTATAAATCATCACCATTAATTGTCTATAACCATCATTATTAATTTATTTTTTAATTCTAAACTTTTTTAAAATTAACATGATGAAACAAATTTTTATTTTATTTTATTTTGGAAACAATTTTAAAAATTGCATTTGTAAAACAGTTTAAAAAAAACAAAAAAAGGCCCTAAATTAACCGCTTTGTATGTGAAATGCATCTAAAATCTCTTATGCACTTTCCAGTTCACTGCGTGATGGAGTCTTTAACATTCATCTCAGCTTGCTTTCACATTGATTTGTATATGATCTAAAATTTAGAAAACGTAACTATTTAATTTTCTTAGAGATAATAAATAAATCTAAAATAATAATATAAAACCGGTTCGCTTGTAACATAATTCAAAATAGTAATTTTTTTTGGAAACGTGAAAGTAAAGAAATTGATTTATCTGTTGATATCTTCAATTTTCTTTTATAATCCAAGTATTGAAATTTAATCTAGTTCTAACTTGAGTACTTTTCAAACCGGACTTTATTAGGATTACCCTAATCTAACCGTTTTGTTCACCACAATAATCAAACTTGTCGACTTGAGTTATACTGGAAAAGGCAGAAAAGTAGAGAAGCGTGCTTAGATTGGGAGATGGAAAAGTGGAAGGAAGGGAAATGTTGAAGGAAAAATAATACTCCCTCTGTATTAAATTATAGGATATTTTTAAAAGAAAAAATTCATCTTAAAATATAAAATTTTTTAGATAGATTAATGCTTCATTAAATATATTAATTTTAATATTATTTTTCTCTCTTTATAATTAATTTTTCTCATTTCTTTTTTAATATATAAAATGATAATTTTTTTAAATTTTAAATTTTTATTTTAAAAAAATAAGATTGTTAAATATATTTAATAAAATTTATTGATATATAAAATTTTATTTAAAAATTTCTTATAATTTATGACAGAGGTATTAATATCTTTTTTTAAAAGAAGTTGGAAAATTTTAAAGAGAAAATTCTATTTATAAAATTATCCCACTCATCACTTTCCCATCCTTTCTCTTACTTTTTTATGCTCTTTCCTTCTGCTGCGCGTCTTCCCCCGACTCTTTTATTATGTTATATAATTTCAATTTTTGAATTATTTTAAAATTTATGAAATCGTTGTGTAAAAATAATCTTAAAAATTAAAAACTTAAAATTAGATAAAGTAATTATACATTAATATGAAGATTAAAATCACTCTATATTTTAGTTTCATTTAGTAATATATTATGAAAATTATATAAATAATATGGTAGAATAATAATTTTTATTATAAATAAATATTTTCTTGAAAAAATAAGGTTATTATTGATTTTGTAAAATTAATCACTTTTTTTCCCTATTTACTACCGTCCATCCAAGTATAAAAAAAATAATTCATTCTCATCTTTTTTATCTTCTACGTTTTCTCTCCTCTTATAATTTGACGGGTTTGAAATTTCTTTTAAAAATATGGAAAGCAAAAATGATCTATTCATCCTTGGATGTCAACCCCCGAAATTAAAGTCCAATCATGCAAAGTTCAGTTCCATAATATTAAATTACTTTTATATTGTTTACAAAAGGTCTCAAATGTAGACAAAACTTAATTGGTATAGGAGGACAACAAGCCTATTAATTTGTTCTGACATGTCCAAAATACAACCAACTTGCTAAGTTTGTCCATCACCCTTAATAATTATCAAATTTTTTAATTATTTGATAAGGAATAAACAACAAATCAAAATGTAATTTCAGTTTTCAACTCGTCAAAATGAAAAGGAGATATAAAATAAATGCAACCCAACAACAATCAAAATAGCAAAAAAAAAAAAAACGAAAAAACAAAAACAAAAACAAAATTGAACGGAATCCTGAATCAGCTTTCACTTCATAGCTCATATCATCGTTCCACCAAGAAATGCGATCCCCAGAACAAGAGGCACCATATTCTCCTGGAAACTCACAGAACCTGCGGAAGATTCCACAGTGTTGGCTTGTTGGCGTTACCATCACCATCTTCACTCTCATTTGCAGACGACGATTTCGTGTTATCAGATTTAGGCGATTCTGCTTTCGCCGCCACCGCCGGCGAAGGTGCAGGAGCCTTAGGAAGCACAAAGTCTAGTGGAAGAAGCACCTTGTCCACCTGATATATGGCAAGCTTGTTGTCTGTGTAGACCGTTCCTGTCACGGTGGCATTAACCGCACCTGTGGTCATGCTCACTCCGCTGCTGCCTGAAGTTGTGACGTTCAGTTGAAGTCTCTTCGGGTCGTCGCCGGCCTGGGTCTGAACTGGGTTGGTGAGGTATCGAAGTTGGAGATGGACGAAGGAAGAGATGGTGTGGAACTGAAGAAGCTCGACCTTTTGCCTGTCACTGAGGGAGTTCAAGAACCCTGGTTTGAGTTTGGAGAATGCACCGTCCTCAGGGGCGAAAATGGTGAGTCCGCCGGAGCCTGAGGTCATGAGCTGCGAGTTGAGTTGGTTGATGAGCTGTGTTGTCTTCAACAAACGTACAAGAACAGAGAATCTCTTGGCCTTCCTCAGAATTTGAACAATATCAATGGTGGGACGTTTGGGGATGGCCGGTGTCGGAGCACCATTTGGTGAAGCGGGTACCAGAGGAACCGTACTGAATCCAGGTGCTGGTGCAGTGGGCTGAACCGCCGGCGATGCTGCTGGAGCCTGAACTGGTGACACCTGGGCTAAAGTGGTGGTTGAATAGAAGGTTGTGACTAGAAGTAATATAGTGGTGAAGATGATGAATTCTTGCATTGTGACTTGTTTTTGAAGTTTAAGAAGTCTGAGTGATAGTGTCTAGGAGAGCAAGTGGAGGAACTGGCTCTGCTTGTTGATTTTGTTGTGAGGAAAGAGGAAGAAGATATGGCTTTTTATAACTGAGGCAGTGGACAGAAATGATGAGGATGGGACAATTAATAAGGTTTAGTTCGGAAGAAAAAAAGATTATTAATGAAAAATGTACTTTTAATTGCAACTTTCTAGTTAATGATGAATCTCCTCACCTATTCCTTGAAAGATATATATTATTGTGCATTATTATGGATAATTACTAGATATATATGAGATAGTGGTGAAAGATGAATGAGACAATCGATCGAAGGCATGCACGTCATACTATAGAAACTATTTGGCTTTCACATCGAATGTAATGTCAATCGGGATACATATAATATGACATGTAATCTCAAAAGGTGGCTATTTTAGACACGTATAGGTGGAATATTTCCATCATTCAGGTTGAGGATGTTGAAATTAAGCAAATTGTTAATTTGTTAAGTTGGATGCTGAGGTAATTAATTAAGATTAAGGAATGAATGGGAGGATCAAATAAGTAGAATAAAAAACAATACTCCTTCCATTATGTAATACTACCTCCCTTCAGTATTTTAAAATGCTTTTAACTAATTTACACTCTCATATAAGTTGGTTAATGCCATTTAAATTTATACATCCTTATTTAATAGATTGTTTCAATTAGAAAAAATTATCTATTATAAATCTAATTAAGCGTATTTTTGAAAATATTGTAGTAATTACATCTTGAAAACCTTATTAATTACATTTTGAGAAAAATGTCTTATATATTTTAACATGATACTTTAAAAAATTATCTTATAATACCAAATGAAGGGAGTTTAAAGTTAAAATGGGAAAAAATTTATTACCAATATAAGCAATATTAATATCATTACAAACTTGAATGAATATTTAATTTGCTATAGTATACTTTTGGTTCTTTATCTTTATATAGAGTTTCAATTTAGTTTTTTAATTTTAAAAAGTATATTTTCAATTCTCTAACCCTAATATCATTAGTTTTAAATGATTATTTTTGTGCCAATTTTTTTTATTTTATGAAATAATTAAACTTAATGTGTTAACATTTAAAAATACTTTGTCAATATTTAAAAGTTTAATATATAAATTTTTTATGATGAAATTAATAGCGTTAATGGTTAAAGGAGTAAAAAGATACTATATAAAATTAAGGGATTAAAATGAAATGTTTTATAAAGTTAAAGGATTAAATGTATATTTTAGCTTATTTTATTTGATGTTTACAAAACCATCCAGACAACTATTGTATCCGTTTATAATTTTCGTTACTCTATGCTAAACCTATTTATTGTAGGCAAAATAAGAAAAAACAACATTTTTCAGATACAACATTATTTTTTATGTGTACCTTGTCTCGTCCATCGCTTATGTTAGTTAACCGATCGAGTATATCACAACTGTATCGCGTAAGTAAACTTGCACCAGCAACCGATGAAACTATTTGTTGGTATAGAAGAATAATAGGATTGGGATTTAACTAGTTTTGCCGGAAAGAATAGATGGAAAAGGAGAGAGGTCCACATTAATCCTTACATCAATTTTCTCTCGGAAAACAGTGAATAATAAACTGAGAAAATGTTAGTAATAAATAAGTTCTCATGGAATAAAATTCGGTGAGAAATTGCGAAAATACATGAGAAGTTATCAATTAACTAAACAGAAAGGGGGATTAAGATCCCATACAATCTTTAAGAACTGAGTCTTTCAAAGAGGAAGGAACACTGTCAAGAAAAGAAGAGGCATTTAGTGCCTCTTTAGCAAGTCTATCAGTCACATTGTTTTCGAGCCTTGAGATATAAGTAGTCTTGACATCCCAGTTACTTCTCAAAAGCTTTGATATCAAAACATTTATCCTGAGAAAGCCTTGAGTTTTTGCAGATTTTTTCACATCATTTTTTCGAACATTTCTTTCATATTTTTCCTGAGAAAGAAGTGAGAAATTACACATAATCTACTTTTAGCTAGCTATGTGTTGATTATAAAATCAAAACCTTTGAAACTTTTACATTGATTGGAATACACGTCTGCGCATATATACACATATTATCATCGATAATCTCGTTTATGCAAGTGCTGAAATTGTATTCGATACAACTAGCATGCATATACTATTCAGACCAGCCTTTATTATTTCTTACTCGCTAACAATATCTAAATATTAGCTAATACTGGAAATAAAAGGGAGAAAATTTGGAGATGCGGCATGCTCTTCTATACAAGAATTTCCTGAAAGATGTGGCAAGCAAATTAAAAATATCTCAAGGTCTAGGCCAATCCTACAATGTTAATTAAGTTTAATCGGATTCAGTGTGCTGCATTCTAGAGGAGGTAATTCAATGGGTCAATATGAATAAACTCAAAATTTTTTAAAGCTCGACTTGAGAGCTTAGAATGTTTTTTTTTAACTCTCAAAGGACCTCTTGAATAAACTTAAAGAAATCTAGGTCAAGGCTGAATACCATTTCATTATTAATAAGATAATATTAAAATAGGATAAAAATTGAAAATATTAATTTTTTCAAAATAAAAATTGAAATTATATAAAATAAACAAATAAAATAAAATTTAATAATTTGGATATTCAAGCCAGCTTAAATAAATTTAAAAACCTGAGGGTTTAGGGTTAGGCTTTGCTATATATATATATATATATGTATGATTTTTTTTATATATATTTGAGTATTTTCACTGAGCCTAGCTCTGCTCAAATTACCTACTTTATATGAGTCTCCTTGCATGTACAACAACAAAAATAACAAGACTTATGTACTTAGCCTAATATGGATCTTAATACATTAATTTAATCAATAATCAACATTTATTATAGAATAAATAATCTATAAAAGATTCACATGTTATGGTTTAATTGGATACAAGCACATTAAGTATATAATGTTAAATATATAAGTTTTCTCCAATCACAAAATAAACAAACATTGGTAGGAGAATGAAACATTAATGTTTCAAAAAGAAACAATAAATAACAAAATAAAAAATTGATTACAAGTAATCAAAATTGAAAAAAGAAATACTTCCTTCGTCTTTATATATAAGAAGTCTTCTAGAATTTTTTTTAATCTTTAAATATAAAAGGTTGTTGGCATATTTTTTTTAATGAAGAAATCATTATACTCATATTAAATTGAAAAGAAAAAAAGATAAGTACTCTCATTAATTTATTTTTTTAAAAAAATTATTTTTTATTTATAATAACTATGGGTAAAATTAGAATGTTGCTGTAATTTTAATTAGATAATCAATTTTTATTGGTTTGCGTGATTTAATTAAAAACATTTTATATATAAGAAAAGAAAGAGTAGAAAAGAAATTAATGCAACACAAAATTAACCAGATATCAAAACAAACTGATTGCAATCTTGAATACGCTTCAACTTAATATCAAAGCTCCCCCAAGAAATGCCATTCCAATAATAAAAGGTATCATCTCTGCCTGAATAACACTCACAGAACCTGTATAGGCTTCCACAGTGTTGGCCTTATTGGCATTATCATCACCATCTTCACTCTCATTTGCCAATGGCGACTTCGTGTTATCAGATTTAGGCAATTCTGCTTTCGCCACCATCGTCAGTGAAGGTGCAGGAACCTTAGGTAGCACAAAGTCTAGTGGAAGAAGCACCTTGTCTACCTGATATATGGCGAGCCTGATGTTTGTGTACATAGTGCCGGTCACCGTGGCATTAGCTGTACTCGTGGTCAAGCTCACACTGCTGCTGACGGAAGTAGTGACGTTCAGTTGGAGCCTCTTCGGGTCATCGTCGGCATAGGTCTGAACTGGGCTGGTGAGTGTATCGAAGTTGGAGATAGAAAAGAAGGCAGAGATGGTGTGGAATTGAACATGCTCGACCTTTTTCCTGTCATTGAGGGAGTTCAAGAACCCTGGTTTGAGTTTGGAGAAGGCACTGTCCTCGGCGGCGAAAATGGTCAATCTGCCGGAGGAGCTAGAAGTCGTGAGTTGTGTGAGTTAAGTTGGTTGATTAATTAGGGTGTCTTCAACAACTGTATCAGGAGGGAGAATCTCTTGGCCTTCCTCAGAATTTGCACTATATCGATGGCGGAAGCTTTAGAGACTGCCGGTGTCGGGGAGCCATTAGGTGAAACTGGAACCAATGGAACCGTGTTCATTCCCGGCACGACAGCAATGGGTGGAGTTGAAGGTGCAGCTGCTGGAGGAGATGCTGACGGCGCTTCAATTGGTGACAACTGGGCTGAAATTGTCACACTTTGAAAACAGGGGTGATTGGCGCCACAGCGAATAACTTTACACATTCCTATAAGTTTTAAAATAAAAATTCATTTCATTTTCTAAAAGAATAATTAGGTTACGTGAAAATACTAACACTTTTAATATTAATTATTATAATAAAGCTTTAATATTTTTGTAAAAATTTTGACAGAACCTTCCCTATAAATAACATCTCTTGAAAATTCTAAAACACAATTTTTTTTATATAATATAGTATCAGTCAAGAGTTTAGCTCCTTCCATCTACCAAACATTATATAAATTAAAATAAAGTCCTAACAACAATTTATGTAGAGCAACTAACCTTTTTTTTAAACTTAAAATACATGAATATTAAAATATTTACATCAAAAGGTAACAATATGACACAAAATTTCCACCTAGTATAAATGTATTGCCCTTTAAAGGTCGGTGGTAGAATCAGCATCAGTTAATGAATTTAGGACTAAAATAAATTTTTCAGTGAATAGCGTCTCCAAATTTTTTTAAAAAAATAAAAAATAAATTCAAACAATTGTGTAAACTAGTTGAAAAGATGAGAATTCAATATGATGTACTTAATAAATGTATAAATCTTAATCATAAAAATGAGGGTAACTAAACACTTTATTCCATCATGGTAGGAGAAGAGTGATATATATATATATATATATATATGAATCAAAATAACACACTAATAATTGAAACCATTAAATTTTAAATATATAAATTAATTGAAGTTTAAAATAATGAGGACTTAATAAAACAGATAACAAATGTGGACGCACAGTCTATGAGGGTAAATAACCAAACGTGGCTTATGCCATGAAAATAAACGCGAACACACAGTTCATAAGGATAAATAATCAAATGCAGCCTGAGTTATAAAACAAACATAGACATATAGTCCACAAGGATAATGCTAACCAAGCATGGCCTAAAGCCATGAAATCAAACGCAGGTACAATATCCACGAATAACAAACGTGAGAACAAGGCTCATGAAATTCAAACTAACTAGTCATTAACCAAGGTGTTGAGGGCTATTGAAACTATCACTAACAACTAGTGTTCTATATAAAATCCTTTTCGAAATCACATTTCAAACATGCAAGAGAAATAAATATTTTAGAAATAAAATTTTCATTCTTAATACCAAACTTGTATAAATTGTTTCAAATATCAAAACTTGCCAAATTAATACTTGAGAGCTAATGTGCAATCTTGCATTAATTGTATAGCCAATAAATTTTGAAATTCAATAAACAAAGATACTTTCATCAATATTAGAATTATACTTCTTGAGGAAAAATAAATGCACATAACATAATTTAGTTATCCTTCATAATTATTTCATAATTTTCAAAACTAAAATAATTTATAAAAATAAATATTTCAGTAAAAAAACTATTAATGAATAATTAAATGGGATGCTATTCACTCACTCATTGGAGTTCCAAATTCTCAAAAATATTCTTCCTTTAATTATTGTCAAGATTCTATTCTTCCACACACCCTGTAAAAATATAAATAAATATAATTTTAATAACTTTTTAATTTATTACACAATCTCAACCAATTATCATCATTTAAAATTTCAAAATTAAAATTCATACTTTAGAGTTGGTCCAAGTATTATCATTTATATTACTAGTTTTCTCCCATTTGTTTAAATCATGTTAATCCATTTTTTTGAAATATAATTTTTTGTCAATCTTTGCACCAAATACCTTAGGTGCATTATTTCCACCTTTTCAATTTGAAACATCCAACAATTTACCAAGAATCAAACAAGCTCCAAGTATTCAAATAACTACATGCAAGTTCAAATTTGGATCTATTTACTCTCCCTACCCAACACGGCAATAGTAGAACCAAAGAAAAAAAATTGCAATCTGAACAATATCAATTCTACTTAAAGATTCAGACCCATATATATTCATATATCATAATAAAACTTCAAGATACAATTACAACTGAATCCAGATTTCTTCCTTCTCTCACTACACGGGCAGTAGCAGAGCATCAAGAAGAGAAAAAAATTATAACTTCAACGTTATTATTCCTTACTCTCACGCGCACAACAGACCAACAATGGAAAGGTTCTAGACTCTACCTCAACTCAGTTAAGCTATGCAGTGCGGACGAACAGAGGGAAGAAAAGAAGAACCTTGAACGCCGAATAGAGGAGGTGAAGCTCAATTATAGACCTTCAACCAGCAACCCCAAGTCTTGCATGTTTCCCTTCCCATGGACAGACTTAGATCATCACATCAAGAGCAGGAAGAACAAGAAGCATTTCAGGGTGCATCCATGGAGACGAGCATAAAAGAGAAAGATGGAAAAACAAGGAGAAACTCACGACAGTGGCAAACGACACAGCGGCAGCGACTGGTATGAACGATGGCAACCATCGACTGAGAAGGAAGGAGGCAGCGATTTGATGGGTGATAAGGCAAAGGTTTGGTGCAAGTCACTCAACACTCTCTATCTGCTCCAGAATGATCGAAGAAAGGAAGAAGGAAGAGTGTTAAAAAAATCTGGTTGTGACAAGGGGAGTTTAGTAATTTCATAAAGTAAAAAAAAAAGAGCTCCTTGGCCTGACCAGATTCGAACCTGAGGCCTGATGAAAGTGTACATATTCAGCCGCCACAACATCAGCTTTCTTTCTTATTATATTAATTCCAGGAGTTAATATAATTACTATTAAAATACAAACTTATATATATATATATATATATTTAATTTTACTTAAAATTCTTGGGTTATCACAGAAATGCTGGTGACAAAAAAGAAAATGATTAATAGTAAAACAGAAATTAAAGTGAAGGAATTCTGCATGGTGGTTTTGGTTTGGAAGAAGCCTTGAGAAGCTTTGGGAAGTTGAAAAGAAGAACGAGTGAGATTTCATAGTGTTAGTTTTGTTGTGAAGAAAGATAAAGAACGTTTGGCTATTTATAAAATTGGGGTCCGATGATGAGAGAGTGATGGCGTGTAGGTTCGCCATATAATTAAGCATTAATTAGGTGCAACTTTCCAAGAACAAATCTACTTACCTATCCGGAGAGGCGCGTGCGCGCACACACACACCTAGCTAGAGCTTCATACGGATAATCAGAGTGATTAGGGAATATAAGATATACTAATTAGTCGGAAGGTATGAGTAGTTGGATTTGACGTGGCATAGGTAGCTAGGTTGGTGTAAATGGGAATGCATGTAACTAATCTAAGAGATGGCTGATCTGAATCTCTGCATAGAAAGTAGGTTGATTATATGTTCACATCAACCACCTGCACCAAAGATAAGTCTTAGTCAGTTTGCTCAGTTGCATTATCTTACAGCTTGCTTCTGATCACAGTGAGGATTATTGCTTTTTTTTTTTTTTTTCTGCCAGCCATAGTGAGGATTATTGAGGAACAAGGCATTAGACCAACGACTTTCCCATCGTATACCACCTTTCATGTATTTCTCGTTCATGTCCCACAAGTCTATGAGACATTTTCTTTACAATTTCAGACAGTAAATGTTTTCTGCACAATGTTTTTTTAATTAGTCCTAAATATATGATATTTTTAACTAATTAACAAGAATTAAGAAAAGTAATTGACAGTAGTTTGTATCATTAAAATGATAAAAAAAATCACGTACTACTTTCCAAAATTACTCTCCAATTAAAAAAAATCTATCTCAATTAATTTATGTCACGTCTTGAAATATAGGAGTGACTGGTATGAGATATGTGTACAAAACACATATCCCTTGAGCCTCAATTCAAGAAAATTTTCTAATACTTGTTTATATTTATATTGAAATTAGGATATCTTGACTAATTTTTATTTAAACCAAAAGGTTTAATATTTTTGTAAGAATTTTGGTAGCACCTCGCTTAAGCAGAATATTGATAAAATCAGGAGCACAGCTCTATTCATCCAACAAATAGAATATATAACCAAATAAGAATCCTAACTATAGCTTACGTGGAGCTTTTAATCATATTTTCAAAACATAATATATAAATTTTATAATTACATAAAAAAAGAGATATTTACAAAGCAAATCTCCACCCTACTTAACAATAAGTCACTTAGTGGATAGCAGGATGTATAATGTTAGCTATATTATGTGAAACTAAAAATAAATTTTTAATGAATAATGTTCCAATTTAGATTTCAACAAAATAAGTGGAGGAAATATTTATAAGACAATTATGAGTTCTACAAGTTTACATAGTATAAATAGTCTTATATAAATATGTAAACCAAACAGATACATAGCCGATTAAATGTAATAAAAAGTTTCAAGTTATAACCTTTGTTTTTCAATTGAGTTATATAATTTTACCTTATAAAATCATATGTGATAAATGAATGATTTATTTAATAGAAAAATAAATTAAAAACAATAAGTTTTTATTCACATTTTAGTAGAATTTGATTAAAATGATTGACAAGTATGGATATAAAATTTACGAGAATAAATAATTAATAAATATAAATACATAATTTATGAGAGTAAGTAACAAGTGGCCGCTTAAATAAAAGCAAAGCAAAACTAGTGGAAGAAGAATAGGAACTTGCAGTATGAGCATCAACTTCATATCATGGCTCCACCAAAAAAGACGACCCCAAGAACAATAGGAACTTGCAGTATCATCTCTGCATTAAAATTCACTGAACCACTAGAGGCTTCCATCGTACCGACATTATCATTCTTATCATTATTATCATCCCCACTACTCTCATCTACAGAAGACGACTTCGTTTTAGCAGCTTTAGGTGAATCTCCTGGTGCCTTCGCCGGCGCCGGCGCCAGAGCCTTGGGAAGCATAATGTCCAGTGGAAGAAGCACCTTATCCACTTGATATATGGCCAGCTTGTTGTCAGTATACACGGTGCCTGTCAGGGTGGCGTTAACGGCACCGGTGGTCATGCTAACTTGGTTACCGCTGTAAGTTGTGACGTTGAGTTGGAGCCTTTTTGGGTCGTCCCCGGCTTGGGTCTGAACCGGGTTGGTGAGGGTATCGAAGTTGGAGATAGAAATGAAGGAAGAGATTGTGTGGAACTGTAGAAGCTCTACCTTTTGCCTGTCATTGAGGGAGTTCAAGAACCCTGGTTTGAGTTTGGAGAAGGCACTGTCCTCCGGAGCGAAAATGGTTAACCCACCGGCCCCGGAAGTCATGAGCTGTGAGTTGAGCTGGTTGATTAACTGGGTCGTCTTCAGCAACCGTATCAGAACAGAGAATATCTTGGCTTTCCTCAGAATTTGCACTATATCAATGGCGGGAGCTTTAGGAATGATGGCTGGTTTCGGGGCTCCACCGGGCGAAACGGGTACTTGGGGAACTGTATTCAGTCCCGGCGCGGCGGCTGGTGGAGTGGAAGGTGTTGCAGTCGGAGTTGACACCGGCAATGCTGAAGCCGGCGGAGCCGTTGCCGGAGCCTGAACTGGGGATAGCTGGGCTAAAGTGGTGGAGCAATAAAAGGTAACAATGATTAGAACAAAGGCCAAGATTATTTGCACCGTCATTTTAATTTGACTGATCTGAAGAACACTGCTTTTGCAAGTGGTAATGTGTTACCGATTGGTACACTTGATGGCGAGTCGAGTGTTATGTTTGGCCGTGAGGAAAATACATGAAGCTCTCGCCATTTATATAAAATGGCGGGAAGGAGAGAGAATAATTGGATGGCAAGTCCATGCAGAGATTGATGGGTGTAGTAAAAAAGAAAGAAAACTCAATTATTGGGCTCCAACTTTCTATGAGCAAATCGGATTGTTTTTTTTTTTTTAATGTAATGATAAATTAAAGGTGGTACCACAGTGATGATGTGGACACTCGGAGTTATAACTATTTTAGTTTAGTGCGTTGTTATAATGAGTTACGTTGCTCTTGTAACTCATAAGAACGATTGAAAAGGTGGATATATTAATTGGATCTGTATATGGGTTGATAATTCCATCAAGGAAGCCAAAATTGTCTGACAGAAATATCGTGGCAAGGACTGTGGAACTAATAATATAACCTGAGACCTACCATACTCATTTTCGGTTTTACCAACTACTTTTAATCTGATTTTTATCCCTTAGTAAATGGACTGATCGATTTACTCTATATGCTCTTTTCCCAATAATAATAAATAATTTTTTAAGCCAATTAAATTAATTGATGTGGCCAAAATCATGTTTTTGGCAGAAGAAAAAGTGTATATTAAATCTACACTAAAAAAATTGATGATGCAGATTAAATTTGTACTAAAAAAATTGATGATGAACAGATTTATTAAAAATTTGACATTTGTTATACATTTTTATTTTGATAAGTATAAAATTAAAAATAAAAACTTGAATCTGGACTTTCTAGATTCCAACAAGAGTGATGGATACCATAATACTCATTATTTAATGAACCCTAAAGACAATCCAAATTTAATATTAAATTTTTTTATAATTTTATTTTAACAAATATTATTTAAAATATTTAAAAATAAGTTTAAGATCAACAGCAGATATTACTTTGAATTAAAATGAAGGCCAAGATCACTCAGCATGATAAGCACCAAATGCGAATCCTTGCTTCTGTTTGGCTTGTTACAACTTTTCCAATCATGCACTAAATTGGCTTTGTAATTTACTAGTAACACTAATATAATTCCTGTAGTACGAGATTCTTTCGAATTTTGCAAGTGCCTCTAAATTTTACCTTATGGACAATTTAGTCTTTTCCATTAATGATCCGTTAATTAGGCTATTATCTCCTTCACAGAAATTACCAAAAATTGGCTAATCTGTGAGAATTTGAATACTTTGAGGTTATGTGAATCCCATGAAATTAAAGACAAAATATAAATACGACGTGTTATGTATATAAATTTTTTCTTTAATTTGTATATGTATTAAAAATTATATGCAAAGGATCAACGTCAAATTAATGGGTCTGAGATAAAATTGATCTCTAAGTTCTTGGATTGGGTGTGGGGAGGGATTTTCATGAAATAGAACTTTGTACAGCTTTAGAAATAAATTCAAACAAGGACAATTTTTAAATATTCCTGCAAATTCACAAGGATAATTATTTTTTTTTCTGAACAAAACAAGGCCATTTTGTTAATATAAAAAAACAATATTACACGAACTAATCCAGCCACACGGACAATTAAAGCTTTACTAATTACAACTAAGTAATGCTATAAATAGACAAAAAAATATTAAGATTGATCATTGATTAGTTTTTATACATTGTGCTGGGTTAGAGGAAGCTACCTTTAAAACATGCTTCGTTTTTTTTTTGTTTTTTTTTGGAAGAATGATAAATAAGGATATTGCAATTAAAATATTAATGATTACTTAATAATCAGTATCAATCACACAGTATATAGATCTTGCGTCTTAATTGGATGCGATGTATAGCAAAGAGATCCATCAGTGCTAGTGAAATCACACAAAATAATCACATCTTTCTCATTGAAAAACACGAATATAAAGCAAGCGCTTCACATACATATCCCTCCATACAGTCTCTCCCTATGTGCCACACGAACAAAACCAGAACATGAAATTAAAAGGGGGAAAAATTGGTGGGGCAAAAAAAAAAAACAAAGAAAGAAAACAAATTATGAACTTCTTGCAAATGGCACAATTCATCTTCTTCAATACGACGTGGTTAATATGGCTGCCACTGTAGCTACTCCGAAAGACGCCAACGTTGTTGCTACAAAGCCGCCATTCAAACCGACAGCCCCGGACTTGTCATTTTTCGCGGTATCGCTCTCGCCATCCCCTTCCATAGACGGATTCTCCTTATCAGCTTTCGGACCATTAGCCAGTGCCAGCGACGGCGCCGGAGCGAGAGCCTTTGGCTTGAAGAAATCCAACGGGAGCAACACTTTGTTCAAATGATATATCGCAAGTGACCTATCGGTGTAAACAATGCCTGCAACAGTGGTATTAACCACCCCCGTTGAAATATTCACCATGTTCCCATAAGCCGTCACGTTCAGCTGCAACCTGCTCGGGTTCAGTCCGGCGAGTGTCCGGACCGGGTTCGTCAGCGAGTCAAAGTTGGAGCTCGAGACGTAAACCGGAAGAACATGGAATTGCAAGAGTTCGATCTTCTGGTTATCGTCCAGAGAGTTGAGGAATCCAGCTTTCAGTTCGTTGAAGGCACCGTCATCAGGAGCGAGAATGGTTAAGCCGCTGACGGATCTCGTGGCTATGAGCTGCGAATTGATCTGGTTGATCAGCTGGGTGGTTTTCAGGAGACGGATAAGGAAGTTGAAGTTTTTGGCCTTCCTGAGGATCTTAATGATGTCGTCGTTCGATGTGTCTGAAGAATCTGGTCCACTGGGAACCATTGGCTTTGCCGGAGCGGCCACGGGAACAGTGGGTGCGGGTTTTGCCGGAGGTTTAGGGGCTGCAGCTGGTGTTAACTGAGCTAAGGTGAACGAAGAAGAAGAAGAAGAAAGCAAGAGGAGAGAGAAGAAAAGGATTTGCTTCATATTGTTGAGATTATTGTATAAAAGGCTAAAGAGATACTCGATGTTGTTGTTATTTTGGGAATGATGAGAGCGTGTGTTTGATAATGTGTTACTGATTGGCACACTTGATGGTGAGTAGAGTGTTGTGTTTGGCCGTGAGGGAAATGCATATGAAGCTTTGGCCATTTTATAATGTTCGGAATGAGGGGAGAATGATTGGTACGTTGGTAAGTACAGATCGATGGGTAGAGATATGAAAAGAAACAACTTTCAATGAACAGGATGGAAAATAAAAGTTGGGGCCACAATGATGATGTGGACCCTTGGAGGTATAGCTATGTAAGTTTAGTACGTTGTTATCAAATGAGCTGCATGACAACAAGGAATTGAAAGGTGGATATATTAATTGGATGTGTATATAGGTCGGTCACTCCATCAAGGAAGCTAAGCCAATTATCGTCTGACAGAAATATGGTGGAAAGGATTGTGGAACTAATAATATAACCCAAGACCTACCATGTTCGTTTTACCAACTATTTTTAATATATGTTCTTTTCCCACTGATAACAACTAATAGTATTTATACTAATTAAATTAGTTTAACCTTTTGTGTATATAATTTTACCTAAAAAAATTTAGGTTTTAAATAAATAAATTAGAAACTTCTCAATTTGTTATGTATTGCATGGGATCATTTCAATGTATTAGTACATGTGATTCCTATATTTCCCATATTCACTCTACTCCACAAGTGATAATTTTTGAGTTTTTAGTACTTCTGATAGGTTACCGTGTATCAATCTTATTTATGCTCCATTCATTTCCATTTTAACTATATATGTATCATTCATTTTTTATTACTAGGTTTAATTTAAAGGTAATATTTACGATTCACCTTTTTTTTTTTAATAACAAACGAAACCAACCTAACTAGCCTGTGGAGTACCGTTCCCATATTTGGTGGGGGGTACAGGACCATATGTAATCCAGCCATAGCATAAAGTCCATATTTAGCCATGATATATATATATATATATAAACAGCGTTCACTCGCGTGTGTTGCAGAGAAGCTTGTAATTTATCTCTAAATTTTACCCTTCCTTAATACTTGATGAATATTAATTGCAAATAAAAAATGCTCACATTACAAGGGAAAACATGTCCTAAATTTACCATACATTATTGTGAAATAACAATGAAGTTGCATATAGTAATTGGTATCATTAAGCACTAATAAGATAATAATCAAGTACAATCATCAGATTCCAAAATATGTCACAATAAACTATATTTAATGTTCTCATCGTTTTACGATAATTATTATATCATGCACAAGTATCTTCAAACCATCAATTGTTATGGCCAAAAGGAGGAAAAAAACCCATCAATTGTTTCAACTCTTGACAAATTAAAGCAATCCTCTCTCTGGTTCAAAATATAAGCAATATTTGAAAAAAATTTGTATACCAATAAAATCCTCATTTTCATAAAAATATATATTATTTTTTCTTTTTACTCCTAATCCTAATCACCAATGCACTTGATGATGAGTGAGAAATATATTTATATAAATATTTAGGTTAATAAATATAAAGGATAAAATAATTTTTTTTACATGAACTAAATTGTTTATATTTAAAATTAAAATTAGTTGAGAAAAAATGCTTATATTTTGACTTAAAAAAAGTATAAAGTTGTCTCTGCATGAAAACTGGCTTTACCATATATATCCCAACATAAAATAGTAAATAGTAATTGGCCTTGACTCTTGTAAATATTCATAGCAAAAGACAAGGTCACAGGGAATTGTCTTCTCTAAATACAAAATGATCATCTCCTTTTTGAAAGATTTATCTCCATTCTATGGATTAAATTTTTTGGTCAGGATCCATTCACTTCAATCCAAGCATTGTTTTCCCAAATTAAACTCATACAGTAAAATAATGAGTACCTAATAATTAGTATCAGATCATCACGTCTTAACTAGATGAGATGTAGAACATGCATAGAGATTGATCAGCGCCGATGAAATCACCCAACAAACAATCACATCGATCTTTCTCATTGAAAAACACGAATATAAAGCCAACGCTTCACATACATATCCCTCCATTCAGTCTCTCCCCATGCCACAACAACAAAATTAGAACGAACATAAAATTAAAAGGGAAAAATTGGGGGAAAAAGAAGAAAGAAAACAATTATTAACATCTTGCAAAATGGCGTAATTCAGCTTCAATACGACGTCGTTAATGTTGCTGCAACCAAAGCTACTCCGACAGACACCAACGTTGTTGCTACAAAGGTGCCATGCAAACCGGCAGCCCCAGACTTGTCCTTTTTCGCGGTATCACTGTCGTCATCGTCCCCTTCCATAGACGGATTCTCTCTATCAGCTTTCGGAGCTTTAGCCAGTGCCAGCGATGGCGCCGGTGCGAGAGCCTTTGGCTTGAAGAAATCCAACGGGAGCAACACTTTGTTTAAATGATATATCGCCAGCGACCTATCGGTGTAAACAATGCCTGCAACAGTTGTATTCACCACCCCGGTTGAAATATTCACCATGTTTCCATAAGCCGTCACGTTCAGCTGCAACCTGCTCGGGTTCAGTCCGGCGAGTGTCCTGACCGGGTTCGTCAGCGAGTCGAAGTTGGAGCTCGAGACGTAAACCGGAAGGACGTGGAACTGCAAGAGTTCGATCTTCTGGTTATCGTCCAGAGAGTTGAGGAATCCAGCTTTAAGTTCGTTGAAGGCATCGTCATCGGGAGCGAGAATGGTTAAGCCGCTGACGGATCTCGTGGCTATGAGCTGCGAATTAATCTGGTTGATCAGCTGGGTGGTTTTCAGGAGACGGATAAGGAAGTTGAAGTTTTTGGCCTTCCTGAGGATCTTAATGATGTCGTCATTCGAAGTGTCTGAAGAATCTGGTCCACTGGCAACGATGGGCTTTGCCGGAGCCGGCACCGGAACGGCTGGTGCGGGTTTTGCCGGAGGTTTAGGCGCTGCAGCTGGTGTTAACTGAGCTAATGTGAACGAAGAAAAAGACGAAGAAAGCAAGAGGAGAGAGAAGAAAAGGATTTGCTCCATATTGTTGAGCTTATAGTATAGATGAGGATAAAGCGATAATGCTATTTTGAGAATGAGCGTGTTTGATGATTGAGGAGGTGTGGAAGGGTAAGGTTTTATAGGTGGAAAGAGAATGATGAGTTGGGTAAAAGGTTGATTCATGGCAGTGATTTATAGTTATGGCGTGTGATAGAGTATGTTGTGTTTCATGGAGATTAAGGTGGTGCATCAGAGAAGTTAAAGCGATTGAGAGAATGGAGATTAGGTGTGAGTTGATGAAGATGCACATTCAGAAAGGGAAGAGCCTCTTTTCATTCAGATTCATCTGATGTGGACGAATTCAACAAAAAATTATGAATATAGTTAAGAATTTGGAAAAAAAATAAAAAAAATTGACAAAACATGGAGAAATATATTTATTGATAAATTGAAAATTAATATTAATATTATTCATAAATCATGGAATAATATCGTTTTCTGCAGCTTACTTTGTTTAAGGGAAAAAAATGGACTTGGGCTCACTTCTCTCAGCAACTTGTTGGGCCATAATGATGTGTTTAGAACCAATTATTCCCCTAAGTACTTGTAACAGCTTAAATCCGGCCCATATTCATCAAAGAATCAAGATAGTAAAATTTATCATTATGAAGTCAAACGAAAGGCGGATGGCATCACTAGTACAAAATATGAAATTCAAAGGACACTTTCTACATCGGTTGAAAGGCAAATAATGTAAAAAGTTAAGGCGGTGGCAACAGCACGGACATGAGCTTAAGGATCCTACATGGATCGAGCCAAAGATAATGCTATACTTTATGAATATGTTCAATTACTAAAATTTTTTTATTGATTTCTTATGATTTATTCTTATACAGAGCCGTAGACAACTAGTGAAGATGAATTTGTGCGGCCTATATGTCATGAGACATATGCTTAACATTATCACATTGGGTATGACTGAATTTACAAAAAAGGTAAATATATTTTTAAGAGTTTTATTTTATGATGTTATTTGAGAGTACATAATAAGTTTCTTTTACAAATTATATTTTAGATGTTTGATAATTCAGATCCATTTTCCGAAGCTGAAATTGAAGACATTCGCATATGTTGGGCAACTTATTTTGGAGAGAATTTGTGAGTTTTGTAAAAAGTTTTGTACAATTTAAGAAGTTTGTTAGTTATAGATAACTTTTGAAAACATTTGTTGACACAATGTTTTGGATAGCTCAATATATAGTTCTTAGATAGTTCGTAGATAACTTTGAGTTTTGGATAGTTGTTAATTTAATTTTATATTGAAAATTGTAAATAAATTAAGCTGTCTGATTTGGCTATGGTAATTCTCGTGTACAGAGTAGGGTAAATTTAAAAATATGGTTGTTTATTTTAAAAATAAAATACACTTTTTACAGCGGTTATTACCATAACCGGTGTAGAAATTAATATTTTACATCGATTAATGTAAAAACTGGTGTAAAATAGCAAACTTTTTACAGCGGTTGGAACCCCAACCACTGTAGAAAGTGCTCCATTTATTAATTTTTGAATCGTTGAACTATTTTCTACATCGGTTATTGTTAGCCGACATAGAATATGTATTTTTTATAGCGGTCGTATAACCGATGTAGAAAGTTAGACTTTCTACATCCCCTGTAACAACACCACCTATTTAACCGCTGTAAAAAATTATTTTTAACCACTGTAAAAAGTCATTTTTGTAGTAGTGCATGTGGTATGAATAAAAAGTCAATGATCCAAATCTTGCATAATCAAGAAAAAAAAAAGAAATTATTCTTAAGTCATAAAGATATGACTTCTTTTAGGCTCCATGCAACAAATATTTCCACACATTAGTTTTAACAAGATTTAAATGTTTAAAAACATAAGTAAAATATTTTAAAAGCATGAAGCATTATCTATCCCATGCAGTAGTAGATCATATCGAATATAAAAGTAACGATCAAGTTTCAAATCAAATAAGCTGTCATGTGGACAATATTACAATAGAATACCATAGATTCTTAAAACCCGTATATTTAATTATAAAGGCAAAGTTGGAAAATTGATTTCAATAAAATGTACATTAAAAATGACTTATAAAAATAATTTTTATTTTTGCAATGTAGTTATAATTAAACTGAACTTATATATCATGAACTTATATATCATGATTTCAAGGAGTGCTTATACATTATAAAGAGTTAAAGGGTAAAATGTCTTCATATATATATATATATATTTCGTGTGAGAGGTGTCTTGCATTTTAAACCTTGAGCAACATGGTCACAAAACTTTTAAAAAGAGTGTGATGTCATTAAATCATGAAAAAGCTGACATAGTTTGACCAACACATTACACTTGCTGAATCATTTTTCTTCCTCATTCCACTACGAAGTCTCAACTATCTTACGCGTCCAGCTCTCTCCGGCCCATCCTTTGCCTTCCTCCTCCTCCTCCTCCTCCTCTTCAACTACGTCGAATCCCAGCTCTTTGTATTTTGCGTCTTCCTGAGGCCTTCTTTGTCTTGTTGAATCCTCCTTCTTCTTCTCCCTTATCGCTTTTGTGCTCTTCTACAAGTCGTTCCATTCTCGATTCTTCTGACCCCATGCAGATTGCTCCCCTTGAGAGTTGAAGAGCGAATTGTTCTCCCTGACCATGTGGTACGGTTTTGATGGTGAGCAACAAATTTCTCCAGCAGAGCCAATATTTTTGACCCTCCAACATTTCTTCCTTCTTCACTTCCTTCATCTTCTCCATTTTGCCCCATATCTTCACTAGCCCAGGTCTCGGTCTCGCCTTCGTCCTCACCAATTGCACCATGGCTCCTCCTAGAGCCCTCGCCAGCCAGTGCTTTGGTCTCTTCATACCAACGCTACCCATCCCATAGTCGCTTCCCTATTCGCCGTTGAATTCGACATTGGACAGAACCCAGAGATCAAAGACTTTGATGATAACAACATCGGGATCGACATGAACAAAATTGAATCCCGTTATAGTTAATTACGTGTTTGCGGAGATGTATGTTGGATTTTCTGAGTGAAGGCGAATTGGGTTGAAGCACATAGACTTCTAGCTTGGAGCTTCAGCAAATACTGGACCAACGAGAGACATTAACATGACAAATTTGCCAGTTTTTCAGCACGAGTTAACCACGATTTAACCATTAAAAGTGGAGAATTTTTGTAAATAATATACTCCTCCATTTCAAATTATAAGATACTTTTGAAAGAGTTTTTACATCTTAAAATATAAAATACTTTGAGTAAATTAATGTTTTATTAAATTCATTAATTTTTATATTATCCTTTCTCTTTTTATAATTAATTTTTGTCTCTTATCTTTTTAATATATTAAATAATGGGTATTTTTAAAAGTTTATATTTTTGTTTGAAAAAAATAAAGTTATTAAATATATTTAATGAAATTTATTGATATGTGAGATTTTTTTTAAAAATGTTTTATAATTTAAAAAGGGGGGAGTATATGGTGTCAGGGTGTTACTGCCAGCATTCATGCTGAGTGGAGGGTATCGAGAAGACAAACAAGAAGATTGAGGAAGAAGACGAACGATAAAGCAGAAACCACGTGCACATTTCTTGGTCAAGCCAAGAGATTTAATGACGAACGTTAGTTTTGGTTAATGATGATAACATTGCACCTTTTTTTAAAATTTTGAAGTGACATTGCTCAAAAAAAAATTCAAATACTATACGCTTTCGCAAAAAAAAAAAAAAAAATTCAAAACAAGTTTGCCATTTAACCCAACAATAAAAGCTCCAATACATTTGTTAGTCAACGGATAAAAAAGCCCGCGCACGCAAACGCTGAAAATCTCTTGCACTTCGAGGAGTCAAATAAATTTAATTTGTTGGATGTTTCCCCGTGGTTTCCCTCGTAAAGTTTTATATTAGCGAAATTGAATGCTCATATTTTCTGCATTGCTGCGTGCAAACACGCTTACAAGCTATCCACTACCCAGTCATATACTCCCTTCCTCTCAAGTAAAAGACAATTCGAGATAAAATTATGTATACAAATAAAGTTTAACAATGATACTTTACAAACTTAATTTTTCAAAATAAAACTGCAAACTTAAAAAAAAAAATGTTCCTACAGACCTAATGATTACACTATAACTATTTCGATTTTCTCTTCACTTGAATGATAAAATTAAAAAAATTTATTAATAAAATTTTATTTTTATCAAATTATCTTATTTTTTGAGATAACAAGATATCTCAAAAATTGTTTTATAATTTAGGATAGAAATAGTATATTTTTTAAAAATTATAATTTATGTAATCGATCCTATCTAATAAGATAAAGTTTGTTATTGTATCTATATAAGGGAAACAACTCCCTACTATTCTACTTATAAGACAAAGATAAAAATATTCATTTTCAGATTTTGAGAAAAAAATTAATAAGCTTTATTCCCTCTGTTAAAAAATGTAAGACATTTTTAATCGAATGTCACCCCAATAAAGTAGTTATCTACTTTTAAACTAACCCTATTTTTTCATATTTACCCCTATTAAATACCTACAATAAATATAAAGTTATTATCAATAGGGACATTTTTGAAAAAAGACAATGATTATATCTCAAAAGACTAAAAATGCTATACATGAATATCTAATTCTTTAAAAAATATTTTATATTTTTGGACGAAATGAGTAAGATTTTTCTTAATTTTAATGAAACATACTAAAAGTTACTTATAAAGGAGGAAAAAAAAAGATGGTGCATTTACTTGAGACAAAATTTCATTAAATTTGTGAGTCAATGGATTCACACACACGGTGATCACAATCACTTGTTGCTGGACTTTAATTAATAAATTTTTTCCAAATTTCCCGGAGGTTTCCCCAACAAAGTTTAGCATTATATTTCTATTTCTTGCCAGTTCTTCAGATATATCATGTTTTCTCTAACATACCGATTGATATCTTCGTAGATTGCCTCGTCATTTACATTTCACTTTTCAAGTATTTACGCAGCAGCGAAACAAGAACAGGATTATATATACAGAAACTGCTAGATGTACCAAAACCAAACTTTTTTGTTTTTTCCTTGTTCGTCTTTCTCAAATGGCCCTGATATTTCTTCGCAGTGAGTGTCAACCATAAATGCAATTATGGAGGCCATGATATGTGCTGCTATTATCATCATTGGGGTGTACGGCATAAACACTTGCGCCACTGCCGATCTGGTAGAGAAAGTTACCAGAAGGGCTCATAGAGATCATTTATTTGATAAGGTTATAAACGTGAAGGTGGCAAAGAAGCCAGACTTGAAAAGGATCCAAGCAGAACTAGCCACTGCATTGGGCTTCACAATGGAAGAGAAGTCTGAAGCCAAAAGAGCTGCAATCTTGCTAGATAGAATCAAAATGGAGAAGAAAGTTCTGATAATACTAGAAAATGTCCACGAAGGACTTGATCTGCACAAAGTAGGAATACCTTATGGGGATGATCTTCACACGGATTGCAAGATATTGTTGACTTCTTCAAGTGGAGAGATATTATCCAACCAGATACAAGCTCATACGGTTTTCCAGGCTGATTTTGTCTAGTAATAATTTGAATGTCTGTTGTTGGTCCATCTCCTGCATGTTTTCTCATGTTTTATTAGGTTTTCAGTACATTTGGACGATGACTGTACGTATACTTGATTCTTGATGAACTGTGTTTAATGAGTCTTGCTTGCCACTAGGGCAAGTTTGTTCATTTGGTTTATCTTCTTCTTCCTTCTTGGTTTTCTGTATCTCGTGTCTAAATTTATAGATTTTATTATGATGATATGTATATATATATTACCATAATCTGAGCAGTTTTACTTGATTTGTGGCTACTTGTTGCTTATAATTAACAAGAAGCCAGACTTCTTGTTGATTATACAGCCCGACACAGAAGAAGCTGCTGGTATAGAATCCATGGATTCAGAAAAATCTCAAAGCCACCATAAACTGATCATGGGGGTTCATGAGGAAAAGCCTTCCCCAATTTATTTGCTCGACACACATATTATTGAAATTAATTTTATTAATTAAATTAAATTTAATAATAACAAAACTTTTAGTCTTTTAATTTCAATTTTTATTGATTTAATTCTTTAAGTTTCTCTCAATTTATTCAAGTCACGGCTTCCATTATGTCATTAATGGCTGAGATTCTCTGCGCGGAAACACCATTATGGCCATTAGAACATACCTCAAGCCTCCCGAGACCGATTCTAATCAATGAGACACATCGGAACAGGAAGGTGACTCGGTCAATGGTATTAACTTCCACGACGTACTTTCTTCTGTTGAACAAATTTCGCTTTTGTCCATCGGCAGCTTCTGTATATATGTTTGGTTGAGTCAGAAAATTGAAGAATGAGAAAGTTAATATAGCTATGCAATCTGAAGGAGATCAATCGGTATAATATTAGAGAAGAAATATGATTGCTGCAAAATAGAAGTGGCAAGGATTAGAGATCAAATTGAATAGGCTATTTATCTCTCTAAATGGTGTTTCAATATCATATATATATATATATATATATATATTAATAACGTCAATACCATATATGTTTAATTAATATACAGCAGCATCTTCCTTCTGCTAATGAGTTCGTTGAAAATCGATGAGTCGTGTAATTTACTCCGTGATGTTTGAGTACAATCCCTTCTAGATTTAATTAGTTCTGATCAATACTTGCAGCATAATCTTTTGAATAATTTCTTAGTCCAAAATATTCCACATATATCTTCTTTTTTATAAGGGAAGAACTACTTTGAAGAACTTATAATTGATTATTTTGAAAGATCGATAAAAGTTATAATTATACTGTAGATCTTAACTATGACCTGATGATAAAAGTTTAAAGAGACCTTGATTATAAATAAAAAAAAAGGTTTAAAGAGACACCTTTTTTTCCAGTAATCAAGTTCTTGTTGACTCTTTATACGTTTTCACTTTTCACATCTCTTAAATATTTTACTTTTAATATTTTATTTTAATTCGCCAAAATGTTAGTTTAGAACAAAATGCCCTCAATATAAATTCTTAATTTGCAGTTATCACTTTTATATTTGTAATTGTTTAATTAATATTTACAACTTATTTTTTAATAAATTTTTTAAGAACCTAGTTAACATTAAATAAAAGTTTGGGATCTAACCATGGATCTCCGCTGTTATAAACTTATATAATGGCATAAGAAGCATATTAAATCCAAGTTTGTAAATTAAAAAAAATTAATCTTTTAATCCTTCAACTTTTAATTCACTTGTAACTTAATCCCTCAACTATAACTCGTTGTGACTCAATTCCTCAACTATGATTCGTCTATGACTCAGTCACTTAATTTTTGAATCACTTACAAATTAGTTCCTAAACTTTTATTAATTATTTTTTCATGTTAGCTTATATCTCACATCAATGAGCAAGGAGAGGATATTTTAAAATAATATATGAGCATTTTTTTATCCCTCTTATTTGATAAAATTTTTTAAAAAAAATTAAAAAAATAAAGATCAAGTTATAAATGAATCAAAAGTTGAGGGACTGAATCGTAGTGAATTATAGTTGAAAAACTGAATTGTAATGAATAATAATTGAATGACTGAGTTATAAATGAGTTAAAAATTAAAGGATTAAAAGATTAAATTTTTTAAAAAAAAAATCGCATTCAACAGCCGCGTTAATATCTTGGAACACTAAATAGCCAGCTCAATTATTACGTACATATGGGATCCACATTCCATGAGGGCAGTCACTCCTTGCATGGAATGCGTGGCCGACGCGTGTCACAATAGTAATCGTTGGATCACGTTGACGATTGAAAAGCTAGATAAAAAGGGAAATAAATGAGTTTGAATAATCAATAGAGACGTGAAGCAGAAGGAAATTATAATATGAAAAAGAGGCGGGAGAGATGTTGAAAACGAACATTCTTTAAAACAAGAGATGTTTGAAATTGACACGACATGAACATTCTTTCTTGTCTACTGATTTTTCAAACTCATTTATGTTAAAAAGAAAAAAGAAAAAGCGATCGATCGAGAGCTTTAATTTGGTCCCTTTTAAACTTGACAATTGTACTGTCATGCGTTTGAATCTAAGTATTCAAGTGGCTTGATTGACAAAACTTTGAAAGGAGCAAGTGCATATATGGAGAGATGTAAATTGCTCAGCTTAAAGAATTAGAATAGGTTAGTGGAAATGTGTAGAGTTCAACAAGGTAGGGAAGAATCCGATGATAATTTCTTCATTTGGTTCTTCTTCATAAGCATAGAATGGCAGAATCAAATCGTGAAGTGATACCAACAAATTGTCAGAATCAAATTAGGCTTATTGTCTTCAATAAGTTGGAAACATTCAAGTCTTGAAATTTATCAATTGTAAACCATGATTTCAATAATCAATACATATAATGCTTACCAAAATCACAAAAGTAACTATCAATCTTTACTAAAAATAATCATAATAAGCTTCACAAGGTTGTCACCGCTGAGTTGAGTGGCTTCTGCATAATTTCTTCCCTTTAACAAAGAGACATTAATTTCCTCACTGTCCCCTGAAACAAAAACAGCCGGCCACTAGCAAAGCTCAGCTTTGGGTTCATAAATCCCGTGCTAAGACTTGATTCTTTTATGGTGTTGTTTAATTAATTAATGATCGTCGAATCTTAACAGCGAAGATGGGCTTTTGTAACTTGCGCTTCTAAGCTATGGTGAATAGAATTCTCTCACTTTTAGCATTAAACAATGATACAACCCACAGGAAAAGGTATAAGGCTTCAATAGTAAATAAATTACCTTAAATGCAAAGGAGAAGTTCATTGCAACGAGCCTTGTTTTCATTGCCGCACCACTTGTAAGTTAGAAGTCACTGTTTGGACTAAAGAGAGAAAAACGAGTAGAATTGCAGCAACCAGGGGCGGAACCAGGCCACGAGGTTTGGGGGGCCAAATTTCAAAAAAAAAAAAAACGATCATATATATTGATATTTTTCTTTAAAAAAATTATATTTGCAATAAAAATTATATTAAAATATTTTATAAGATAAAAAAATAAAAAAAAAATAAAATAAGAATCATTTAGAATTTTATAAATTTTTAAAAATAAAAAAATAAAGTTAAGTCCTAGTATATATTTTATACATATAATAGAAACTTAAAAAAATTACATGCTCAATGTGCTTAAACTAACATTAACTTGGCCAAAAAAAAATTATGCCTACCCTTATTTAATACAGTGTCTTATTTAAATTTTTTATTAATTATGGGTATATTTAAAAAATCTTATTAATGGTACATTAAAAAATTCAAAATATCTTATATTTTTTCACATCTTATTTCATGAAAAGTGGCTTATATTTTTGTTTAATATTCATACGATATAAGAAATTATATATGTGTTGCCAAAAAATAAGAAATTATATGTGTAGGGGAGAGTAATATTTTTTTTTTTTAAAGAAGGGATGGAACTTCATGCGTTTAGGCACACAATACACCCTCATACATGAAAATTGCTATGAGGTTGGCCCCTCAAGATACAAGTAGGTTCGTCCCTGGCAGCAACAGAAGCAGCAACTTGCTAAGGAGTATTACAATAATCATGTATCAAAGTGGTGTTCATGTTATGCCAAGGATTTTTACTGTAGGTGAAAGAAATTAAGGAGGAAAAACATACCTTGAGTCGTTAATTCATACGTATGTATGCAGGAATAAAGTTACATTGGTCGAATTTCATTTGGGTGCATAGCAAACGCACTCTCTGAGAAAAAGAGTTGTAAGGAGAAAAAATGAGTTGACTGAAAATGAGAGCGTTCGATTTCTTTCTTCACGCAGAGAATGAAAATTTGAACCGACTGAAACTGCACCCACAACCACCTCTTATGGAACGTGCGGTAGTTTCTCTAATTGCTCATGATTCAAAATTCAAAGGTTAGACAATATTACGTTTTAAGGCCCTGAGTAAATTGCATTTTGAACCCAGACATTTTTCATAATTGTCACAAAAGCCCCATTTTCCAATTTGGGCTTCTATATGGGCTTGATCCACCAAGGGTGAATAACCCAACATCTCCCACTCACACTTGGTGGAGAAGATAATGTCAATCCTATCTCTTTCTCTTTCCCCTCTTCATACTATGTGCTTTGTCGTGACTGCATAGGCTTAACGTTTTCGTTTCAGTTGTTTGTACCAGGAAATCCTATTAAGGATCAGCACAAATAACTTTAAAGTTGAATTTATTCTTGATTAAATTCATGCCTTAATGTCCTAGATTTACTAATATACACTTTTTCTCATTATGACTAATCTGATCCCTTTTAAGTTAGTCTAAGACTCAGATAGTCTCTCTTATATGTATAGTATCCACACTTATGAATTCACAAATTATTTCATAAAGGACATGTCTTGAATATGAGCATGGATGTGTATATTTAAGATAATCTTCCTTTCACCCATATACCACTTTGATAGGAAACAGTCGCTTTCCTAACATGAAATCTTTAGGTCGCATCAATCATGACGATAGGGTGTATGTTAAAGTAGTAGACACTATAACATATCTCCATGAT